AGAATTACAGTCCAGCAAGAGAGAATTACAGTCCAGCAAGAGAGAATTACAGTCCAGCAAGAGAGAATTACAGTCCAGCAAGAGAGAATTACAGTCCAGCAAGAGAGAATTACAGTCCAGCAAAATAGAATTACATTCAAGCAAGATAGAATGACAGTCCAGCAAAAGAGAATTACAGTCCAGCAAGATCAAATTACAGTCCAGCAAGATTAATTACAGTCCAGCAAGATTAATTACAGTCCAACAAGATAGAATTACAGTCCAGCAAAAGAGCATTTCAGTCCAGCAATATAGAATTATAGTCCAGCAAGAACGAATTGCCGTGCAGCAAGAGGGAATTACAGTCCAACAAGATATAATTAGAGTCCAGCAAGAAAGAATTACAGCACAACAAGGAGAAAATACACTACCTACAGTATGACAGAGTTACTGTCCATACCGAGAATAAATTACAATCTAAATCTAGCAAGGAAGAATGCAGTGTAGCAAAAGGGAAGGACTGTCCAGCACAGAGCAATGCTAGACCAGAAGGTCTGATAGGAATAGGAATGTCAAACTAGAAAGCGGGAATGCCAGCCTGCCATGGACGAATGACAGTCCGTAAAAAAGGGAAATACCATTCAACATAAGAATAAAAATTTAGGAAGAACGAATGACCGTCCAGCAAAATAAATTCGCACTCCAACAAGAGGAAATAAGTCTACAGCATGATTATGTTCCTTTCCCGTCTGTAGTATTCTTGACTTACAACATAATTATGTTCCTTTATCCTTTGTAGTATTCCTGAATTACAGCATAATTATGTTCCTATATCCTCTGTGGTATTCTTGATTGCTGTGTGACATTGGATCAATGAGTGAAAAATTGGATTCATTCATTGAATCCTATCAAATCTAATTGGATCAATGGATTTGAATGATGAAGCGAATAAATGGATAATAAGCCAACACTAATTGCACGGCTTATGTACCACCTGTGTTATTCGATTAGTCAGGAAATAATATGGAATAAACGCAAAATTAAATCGTAGAAATCGAAATCGTCCTCGAAACGAAACCATCCGAAATGATTATTCATTTGTTGACATCGATCTATATCGATATATTTTTGGCATAGACGTAAGTATTAATCTATAACAGTTTTTGTATTCCTAACAAGCACGCATAGTTCTAAGGCAAAACATTTCATGGCCTCCACAGATAGTTCTATAGTCCAACTGTTTCAAAAAATTACGAAGTTGTCAGGGTGAATTAGAATAACGCTCACTTCACACTTACACTCGGGTGCATTCACCATGAACCACGTACGTGAACTGGGTATACCCGAGTAATGTCTCATTAACCACATGACTGACACCTGTATTCTTGATTATATCTAGGTACACCGTCTACATTGTACTGCTCCTTAACAACAATCCGTACGGTTTCATTGTTTCCAATACCGACGTCGTGTCCACTTCACAATAACCTATTTCTTTTGTTGTCGACCGCCGCCAAGAAGGTCTTGATCTGCGCCATGGAGATGGGACAGCCGGTGTAGAGCTGGTGGCAGGGCGAGGGCTGGTAGCCTTTGAAGAGCTGGCCCATATGCGCCGCCACCTGATACTCGTGCTGAGTCTCACTCAGCATGCTCGGACTGCGGGTAATGAACGCATTATAAATTCAATACATATTTATATTTTCATGGAGTTAATAATGAGATGGAAATTTATGAGATGAATGAAATAATGGCTAGGTATACAATCAGTATGCCTTAGTTATATGCTCTAACTTCAATGAGTAAACAAAACTGAAAGTATTGACTGAATCCAGCATATTTCTTTCAAGAAACTATCTTCAGTCCTTTGGCTAATGTCTCAAAGCCTTGATTGCGTCGAAATAAAAAAAACTGAATTAAAATTGTATAATTTTTAATTTTAATAGCTAATTACTGGATCAAAATTGTGCTTTACGATCGAAGTGAGATATTTTCAAATGGAAATGTTCAATAGTTCGAAGAAACAATTGAGACATTGTCGTTAATAGGAAAATATTACGCGAGCCTTGGAATATAAGTGGCTACATAATTTATCTGTTATATCGATCCATTATAGAGATGACATCATCACATTAATTTGTCGATTAGTACTAAAGTGTAAATTCTAAAGCATATACATTTGTCATGTTACCTGTACATGTTAATCCATTCCTTTTCTAGATCAGTGGTGATTGTGTCCAAAGTTTGACTGTGAACTTCGCAGATGAACTTTGGTAGACATTTGTAGACTTTGCGTCTGATCTGCGCCACTCCTGAAATAAATGCAAGCAAATCAATCGATGACTTGGAATGCGGAACTAACTTGTATTTGTAGGTTTATAAATGTGTTAGTCGTTTCCAGCATGGGGAAGAATGGAATATGTAGGAAAAATTCGTTTCCAGCATGGGAAAGAATGGAATATGAATTGAAAATTTCGCCTGAAATATGAGATTGGAAAGGGTCGAATGGAGCATGTTAATGGAAAGGATCGTATGGAATAAGTGAGTGGAAAAGGTAGAATGTGAATGGGAAGTTGGTAAATAATTAGACGGGCTGGGGCAAAAAATTGTTACAATGTAATATGATGACCATTTAATGATGTAATTAATGGACGCATGTAATTAATGACCGCGTTAATATCGTAATTAATGGCCGTTTTCAGATACTCAATTAGATTATTCTGATTAGCAAAGTAATGAAATATTAAAACGCAAGGAAATTTACGACGTGGTCATGGTGGATATGGCCTAATTTTATTGAAAGGACAAAAACTCGTAACATGGCATACAACAGTGTTTTTCTATAACATTTTGTACTAACTGATTAAACTAATTAGTTATCTATTCGTTAATCAATGAATATCTTGGAAATTATCCATGGGAGCTCCCAATAAAATTTTCTGTTTTTTTACGCATGTTATTAATACTTGCTACATCAGATGAAACGACAAATGCTAAAAATGAAATCATTTGAATTATCACCGAGAGATTAAGGTCTGATTCGAGACACCTTACATGCGTGTGATTGCGAGCCAGACATAAGTCGTCATCGTTCATAGATACTTGAGGCATGCAAAACACATAAGCACTGTTTGAAAAATGACCGTTAACGGTAATACCGGCGTTTCAGTGGCCGGTCGGCACGTGAAAAGAAACACCGTTTCACCATTTTTATTCCAATTTAACACCAGAAATACGTAAAACATCTGATAAAAACGGCGAAACAGTTTATTTTCACGGGGCGACCGGCCACTAGGATGCCGGTGGGACCGTTTTTTCACCGTTTTTTCTAACAGTGAGGACGAGAAGCCCGTTAAAATCACTCACGTTCTTGCAGCGAGGTCATCAACTCATCTTGATAATCAGCCATATCGATGATCCCATCGTGTGAATCCAGAATAACTGCATCTTCAGGCGGACTCAAACGAAGGACTTCACCTTTACTCCTTCGTCTTTTTATATTTTTTGGCCCTGACGGTTCGGCTGTGTCTTGGGGGGAGCGATTTTTCAAGATCTGAACCCGCACTTTTTCTATTCCCTGTGGCTGGTCTTGGTTGAGTAGCGTCTGTACATCAGCGCCGTCCATCTGCGTTACCGTAGAACGCTTTGTCTGAAATAAATGTAACGTTTCGTCTTCAAAAAATGTTTATACACCATTCAAGAATCTAGCAGGTCGGTGAGAGTTCTGGAGCTAATGGCTGTGTACCGTATCAATGAAAAAGTTTGATGCAATATAACGCAAGAGAATCCATTCAAATTGACCTTGTCAATTGAATCTTGTTTCTCGACGCTTGCCAGGAAGAGAAGTTGCTTCATAACAATTTTCAATTTGTTCAGCAGATAAATATTGTAGACAATTGATAAATATTTGAAAATAATGTTTTTAACAATAAAACGCTGTTGAGAAACCAACTAATTTGGAGATAACAACGACATTTTATTTATATATTGTCATCGTCCTGGGTGGTTACAATAAATTTATGAGGCGCGATATGCTCACCCGAGAGAGTGGCAGCGAATTAAGAGTGTCGCTGAAGACAGACTCGAGCCACGTGGTTAGGAGGAAGCAAGTTAGGAACGCGGCCAGAGCCGTGAGTCGTCTGCTGCCGTACCAGTCCATCGTCTGCCCGCCACCTCCTCATGCGGTTGTCTTAACTCAAGCTCGCCGTGTCTAGCTCCTTTGAAGCCAACGAACGGTTTCATTATAAAGAACCGATGCTTGCATGCGTAAAATTAAAACTATTTTTCAGTAAAATATTATAAAACTTCAAGAAATTTTCATATGAATTGAAGATAATATGTATCTCAGTTAAAATAAAAGCAGGTTTTATAAATCCCAAGAGGTGGTCTGCGCCAAAATTGATTAAATCTGATTTTTAAGAAGAGTTCGTGTCACCATACCGAATTTGTTTTATTTTGATGACCATCGGCCGCTGTATGTAATATTGTAATGCAGGAACCTCTTTATGATATCTTACTTGCGTTAGTCGGAGCGGGGCGCTACAGAAGATCAAATCTCATTTATTTAGTGGCGGGCACCAAGCTTCCAGGCAGCGGCGGCCTAACGTAGCCAATAGGACCAACATTAATGTGGTATGAAGGTTTACTTCGTGAAATTGAGTATGTTTTAATTGAGATAAATAATAAGAAATAACAGATATGGTACATAGGGGTAAAACGAACATAACGTACAATATCTAAAAAAATATATGTATTTTGACATTGCTTCTGTCAAATTTGTCTCCACGCTAGTTTTGCAATTTCCATTTAGACTTGAAATTTGCGATCGTACAAAATTGAAGTTTTCTTGGAGTTTTCTTCATGATATAAAATAAAGTCTTACAAAGACATTTTACTTCACAATGTTCCAAAAAATATGCATTTATTTTTACATATAGGTACTAATTAATGCGGTTTTACCGTTTTAAATATCATCGCTGTGTCTCAACTCATCCCAGGAAACATGGAGATTCCAAATGAAATATTTAAAAATAAATTACCGTACATTTGAGAGCGTACTTTAGGCTAAAGTCAGCCCGAAGCACGCAAGCACAGTAATTTACTCCCACAAGAACTTAACTCGAGCGAGGAAACAAAAAGAAGTTTGTTTCACGAAGGCCGTGTAGTGGTGAGGGGACCGTACATGTCAAATGTCAGTGAGTCGAATGCCGTCATAAGCTGCAGCCATCGTCTTGTATACACGAGGTGTCTGAGTCACCACTAAACGTCACATTTCAGTTTAACATGGAACAGGGGAGACAGTTTCATTGGTGAGAATATTTTGCACCAAGTGAACAATAAAATAAGTACATAGTGAAAAATGTTGTATACGTTGCAGCATTTGCATTTAAATTAATTAAATTAATACATTAATAGGTTAAAAATATCAGTTGCTAAATTGTTTTCTACGTGTTCAAAGCAAATCCACGCGTCAACATTTCTTCTCGCTTCGAATCACCGACATGTGGAATAGCCTCCCCGATGACATCGTTGGCGCTCCAAGTATGAACGCGTTCAAGAACAGACTAGATAAAGCTATGGAAAAATCTATGTTCAGATTTGAAATGCCTAGCACCATATCGAACCCGGTGGAAGTCGAGTAGCTATTTCAAACTATCGTCAGTCATGAAAAGATCCGGTCAAATGACACGATTTTAGATCTTCTGTGAACAAGGCACGAAAAGGAAAAGAATCTGCGACAGGCCACATCAAGCCTACAATTCAGCGCCGAGATCACTATGTTATGTTAAATGACAAAGTATTTTGGGGTTGAACATTTTATAGGTGAGTCTAGGTGCTAGTTTCATTCTAATTTATTCTAAATAATGCCCAAACCCTACAAAAAATTAAAAAAGTATGACCACGATGAATGATAAAACCAAATTTCGAACTCGTCATGTAACCGGATCAAAATTTAATAAGCTCATTTCGACAATTTTTCCAGGGGGAAGCGCAGCTATGCCAGTATTGCAATAAACAAACACAAAATTTGTAAATCTGTTAATTTTTAGCGAACTGCACAAGGCTTTTAAGCCACGAATAAAAGTCCGCATTTCTTCTCTCCATAGCAACGGGATAGCATAGCGCTCGTCGTCGCAAGTTCCGCCTCGAACTTGTGGGTCTGCGGAGCATCGCAGGCGCTGCCCGAGCGCTGTCTCTCCGTGGCAGTGAAAGTGCAACGCGCGGTGCCGTCGTGACCTACATAGCTCTGACTCAGTTGTGAAATGATTGCACTAAGAAATAAAATTCTCTGTCCCTGGAAATACAGGGAAGTTATCGTGGGAGGCTCATATTTGGTAATTGACTTGATGTCTTGCGTGAGATTGAAGGAACTTGCAATTGGACTGTCAATTTATCACACATTCACAGACACTTTTCGGTAAGCTTTATTCGAATAAAATGTTTCATTTAAATTAAGGATGGTTTTCATGTTGTGGTTAGAATCTTATAGTATTATCAAAAATTAGCAAACATATAACTTTACGCTTGGAATAGGACCTATAATTTTTGACACAATTACATGCGCATTGAATAATTATTAATGAACATAATTTGAACAAGAGGCTAATGCTGTATTTGAGTCAAAAACAGAGGCGCCGCAATACCGCCGTAGGTTGCTTTCTAATATTGACCACGATGGAAACTTGACAGCAAGTAGTGAAGTTCTGCCGGAGAAATCGTCAATGAATGAGGATTGCAGCAGGCCTATGGTAGGTGCTGCACGGAATTTTTGCAAATACTTTCAACATAGATTCATTTCGCGAAGACTGAAATAAAAAAATTTTCATTTAAGCAGTCAAATGCACTGAAATTTTCAGAAAATACTTCGTTTAAGATTTATCATATGTTCCTACCTAAATATTTGGCTGCGATAATTAAAGTTTTTTCCAGACAAATTTCGATATCTTTCATTTCCAAACGATATTCGTTCTACAATTCTATTTTATCTAAAATTTGCGCCCAATTGTTCAGAATTGTGGCTGACTTTACACACAGCGCGTTTTGCTTTTATACGGAAAATCAGTTCGGCTAGGCTGCGTCCTATCAATAGACCATCATAACAATAGTCAAGTGATCTGCGGTTAATATTACGTTTATTTATTAAGCTGGAACTCTGGCTGCTTGGTTACTCCTCACAGCCCAGCTACAGAGGTCATCTACACCTATAGCTGGGTAGTTATTGCGTACTTTGCGCTCTTTAACGAAAATAGAGTTTATTGGCCTGATAGTGTGAATAATTTTGATCCCTTGCGAAGTTGTGCGAGTTCATAACAAGGATGGAATACATATTTACATATGATTGAGGTTTATAAATACCTACATGGCTACTATGATGTCTCACGCCCAAGTTTTGCGATGGGTACAGCGAGAGACCTCCGCGGAAATTCTCTAAAAATCCAAAAGAGCCACTTCAGACTGAACATTAGAGGTAACTTTTTCTCTCAGCGCATTGTCACAAACTGGAACAGCTTGCCAGAGAATGTCGTCAAAGCACCATCTGTGGATACTTTCAAGAGTCGCCTCGATAAACATTGGCTTCATCTGCCTACTCTCTATGCTCCATCATTCCAGAACTAGACACTAACTTTTTTTGCAACCCAGCCGCCCCCGAATTTTGCTAATATTACAAAGTTAGTATAGTCTCGGAGAGACGAACAGGTCTCTGAGAAAGGCCTCAAGCGTCTAACTTGTCAAGTCAAGTCAAGTATTTGTGATGCAGACGAACACATTTTCACGCCCACTAAAAGCCTCTTGCGTGGCTGTGAACTGAGGGCACCTGAATACCGCGCCCTTGAGTGGCGAGGGGAGCAATGGCCCGCGCAGCTGCGCTGAGGTGAAGGCTGGCATCAGTCCCGTATGCGTCCACCACCCTTCGTACAATAGATTATCCTCCGTCCCTAATAGGAACCCAGTCGCTCTCAGGTCACGCTGTTGACCTAATAAATTTTATGGCTGTGCGTTCGTGCCATAACCAAATCGTGAAACTTATGACTAACCTGCATCGGTTTAATGGATATAATTAACTAAATAATGTAAAATGGTAGAATAAATAATGAATGATGGCTAAAGCTACCTACTATTGAATGCAACCTGGCTGTCATTTGTTGCTCTACTGGAATATTGGCCCAAAAATGACCATAATTTATCATGTATATATTTAGAATATTTTTGCAATCATAATTCAGTTCATGTTCACTGTGGACACAACACAGCTTGAATAAACCTATGTATACGGCTTGAATTAACTTAACGAAGTTATCTAAAAATCACTCATGGTTACTTATTTTTTTCAAAAATGGCTGGCTCATTTGACTCCATTATTATGATGATATTTAACAATACAGGCCTTAAATGCCTTAAACACACTCGTAAACGAATGAGCATACCTCTGATTTTACTTTTACTTCCGTTGTTTCTCTAGTCACACATGCAATACAGAGAAAACGGCTACAACTTTTACTAAACGATCCATATAGAATTATCTCATTGCGTGCTGCAGTCCAGACTTCACCATCACTGTCGCTCGAGGGCGACCCAAGCTTGTAGTTAAATCGACGACGTCAGCGAAAGTGTAACGGCGCAGCGAGCGTGTCGCGCTGCAGCTACGACGTCCTTGTGCGCGCGTATGCGAGACGCAGCAACAGAATGCAAAGATAATGAACAAGAAGAAATCAAGCAATTAGTTGTTTGAGCGATAGTAAGAACTGCAATGCTCCAAATTATTTAGTTTTATTCAATTTTGTAAATTCATAGATGTAGTTTAATTGGAGTCTCTGTCACTGGACTTCATGAATTGGCCCAAAATGTCTTCGAAATCGATCGATTTACATTGCGAGGACTTGTGAATAATTTCCAATAGTTGTGGAAATATTTTCCTCCAATTTTTTTAAATTTGCTAACAGTGCATACAACTTGGGACTTGCAACAACTACAACACAGCAACATGGAACATGTGAGAAATCGTACAGAGAATCAGAAAATAGACTGAAATGGAAACTTTGAATTTAATCAAAATGGCTGCGCATTGGGGGACATTTTCAAACAAAATCAATTTCTAGTTTTGATCTATAAAAGCTATGACTAATTCTACTTTCCGAAGTGTTGCTTCCTAGTTCTACTTTCCCCAGAATTCTACTTCCAAAGATTACACTAATAGTCTACTTTTGCAAAAACCTTGGCTAGTTCTATAGGGGCGCATGCCGGTTTCCAGCTTTGCCAAACTTCACACTTAGTTCATATGTCTTTCCGTACATAAGAACGCTAAAGGGCATAACAGCCTGTGAAGTCAAGTGCTAAAAGCCATGGCGCCGAATGTTTACACTTTACAGTCCCAAAATAAGCTTGCTACATGTAAGCCTGACCAATTTGCCATACTGCATCTGGCAAAACCTCTTCTGGCCTAACCTACCCAAGTTGCAACATTTCTCCGCCCAAAACAAACCTGAGTGGACCTAACCTAACCTCATGAGATGCAGGAATTTAGAAAGTGGTCCAGAAGTGGTTAGGCCGGAGTAGGAAAAGCCGGACGATGAACAGCCTGCTTATGAGCGAGCATTCTTATAAGCATTGGCTGAAGACCTACGGCGCTATTATCTTTCGGCAGTGTGTCGCTTGTCTGGCTTGCGGGGTTCAAGCGTTGTCTGCGGCTTCTAGCTCTGAGGCTGAGCAAAGATAATGCATGGTGAAGCTAGGCGTTGGCTCCATGAGGTCTTATTAAAGAGTCAAATTTGTGGCCTACGGCTGCGCCCCCGCTTATTCGTAATCCTTGTATTTGTATTTTCAAATGAATCTTTGGACTTGTTCTACTTTAAAATTTAATTCCTCCCTAATCCGTCTTTCCAATACCCAATTTACTATTCGAATTGTCCAAAGTATCCCCTGGCTAATCCATTCCGAAGAAACAGAATAGTCTTCTTCTCCAATGAAATACCGACTAAATTTACCTCTAAAATTATTCGGCAATTATCTTTCTTTATGAACTACTATTTTCCAAATTCCAGGAATTGTCAAAAATTTTCCATAATTCATGACAATTCCTGCTTTCCAAATGATTCGCTTCTCGTCCTAC